TGGAAGTTGGAGGCGGTTCGTCGATCAGCCGCATGGCCTACGTTGAACACGGTATAGGAGAGAAAGAGCGGAATATGAAACTCCACCCCACGCGTGACTGCAGTATTCGTACATCGGGTACATTTGAGCTTTGTATGAAAGAAGGTGCTTTGGTGTCAAGAAACATTTTGTGCGAACTAGAGAACCCAGTTTGTGCGCAGCGCGAGAGGTGAGTGTTGAAACAAAAGGGGACCAACAAAAAGAAGAATTTATGAGTAAACACATGCTCCAAATAACAATACCTAAGTATTGAAATAAGGAATGGGAGAGGTACTCACTTCCCTGTTATTGCTCCCATGTCAAGTTGATAAGCACGTTTACATGTATCAGGTCCCACTTGAGTAGTTGCTAATTCCAGGATGTCGTAATTTCAGATACAGTGTTTTGCTTACTACGCTGAGTCAACGAAATTACTAGCGATTGGTGATGGCCACGGTCACAGCCACCACGCATCGTTGGGTCAGACTGCGAGCAATGTATTTGTGCGAATCTGGTGCAGATTTCATGGTCCTATTTAGTTTTGAATGACAGTTTCACAGAGATTTTACTGCTTTGTTCACATTATCATAAACATTCCAATGCCGTTCCACCGTACGTTGTTTGCGTTTTGACGCGCAAACATTTAACTTCAGCCTAAGGAAACTGGCTGAACTGAATAGTTCTCACTATTAGTGTACACAAATTCGAGTGTCCTAGTTCAAATCATTATTATATCTCGTGTTTTTCCAGGTCCAAATGGTGTATCACTCAAATCATGGCACTAGAATCTTCAAGACTGAAGTGTTGTTATTCGCTTTACTCCGAGGTTACACTAAGTAAAACTACTTATCTCTCACAACGAGAGTCTTGGGTCAGTCAAACTCTAATTTGAAAGACAGTGAAGCAGTATGTGAAGGTCGTAATTCATTGGGTATTGTTTTCCAGTCCGTGGGATTTTCTATCTCAGACACGGACTCGGAAGTCTGCGCTGCTCAGTAAGCCCAGGTAATCCAGTAGCTTTTCGCTGGCGACCCGTGGCTTGGTAACCGGTATGAACCCCGGATATTGACCTTTCGCCTTCTAACACTCGTTATAAGTTAACAGTATGTTTGGGTCAAGGTGTTATTCTCTTTTTGTCATTGGAAAACAAGAAGGGCTGTCCGGGGAAATTCTTCAAGAAGAAGGATAACTGATATGTACCATCCTTTTTTATTACACACGAAGTGATTCACAGCAAAAGGGGTTAACCCCATAATCAACGATACACTTTAAGGATGAGGTATTTAGGGGAACATTCAAGTAAGAATCAATTTAGTAATCCTGCTTTTGAAAAGGGTAAGGTTATAAGAGCTGGGAAACACGGAAATGGGAAGTGTTTCACAATTTCACTATCCAAGGGGAAAAAGAAGATTGAAAGATAGAGGTCGAACAGAAACTTGATAAGAGTGACTGCACGCCTGAGAACGAGATAGACGAGAGAAGGTCAGCGGAAGGGGAACCGTTTAAACGAGTTCGGAGGAGCAGAAACCAAAATAGTAACGATAGAAAAGAGATAAGGAAGCAACTGCCCGGCGATTGCAAGGTGGAAGTTAAATATTTTTCATCAATCAGCCGGAGGGCTTTACGTTGAACACGGCCGGGGAGAGAAAGAGCCCCATCCCATACGTGACTGCAGTATTCAAGTATCGGACGGATTTAAGCTTGGTATAAAAGAAGAAGGTGCTTGGGTGTAAAGAAACGCCTTACGCGGAATAGAAAACCAAATTTGCGCGCAGCACGAGAGGGAAGAATTTACGGATAAACCCAGAAGGAAGAAAGAATTTGTGGAACTGAGGGGCAGAGAATCAAAAATCAATTGAGGAGACACGTTTAAGAGAGACGGAGGAGAGAGTAGTTTTGGAAGCATTGAAACACACATGGTTGGTAGAACCCATGCGGAGATTAGTCCGAGACCGTAGGCAAGAGAAACACTAATGACACTACGATGGTGATCGATATTGGTAGTAGCCTGACGGAGTGTGGGGTAAGAAAGAGAACAATGGAGAGTGGCATCATCGGCAAAGCAGTGGATGGGGTTCGATATTTAGGATAAAAGATCGTTGATAAATAGAAGAAAGAAGATGGGCGAAAGTATGGAACCTTGAGAAATACCGGCGTTTACAGGAAATGTCCCAATATCAAAATGTATCTTTGGGTTAGCGAACAGGACATTGACCACTGTGAATTCCGGGTTTCTGAAGTGTTTTTTCTGATTATTTTTTTAGCCCCAATTCACACAGAATTATGAATTATGACGAATTGGCGATTCAGACGAAAGCATTGTTACATACCATTCCCGGAGATTTGGCTAACGTAGAGCGTCGCACTTTGAGTATTACTTCGTTGGATCAGTCTCCCGAAGTAACCAAACTTATCAAAACAGTCGAAGCGAATATTTTACAGGTGAGTCTCGTGATTGTATTTTTACATTTTTCTTTTGCCTTTCTTTGCAAATTTCCTTTCAAGGCTCATGAAACAAAATGTTTGATCTGACGATTGGCGTAATATACCTTTCACCGGGGATTACGACGGATTACCAGTCATGTGGTCGATCACCAGTCCATCAAACCTATCCCCGGAAGCCTAGACTCAAACTTGATTTGATTTCGGTAATAGAAGTTTAAGCCTCTTCAATAGTTCGTTATGACATGTCAGATCAGCTTGAAGAGGATATTATCCCCCCCCCCTACGGTTCACCAGAACAAAACCAATTATATATTGAATAACGTACTAAGAGTTCTGGATTTGGTTCGATTCGATTTTTAATAGCCAGGCCTCAATGCCATGAATTGATTCTTTCACAGAAAACAAGACCTGCGGATCTGTCCATTTATGCTCTGTTTCAAATACCTGTTTAATGCAGATCTCTTCTAACTGCGATCGGTTAAACAATCTGCTATTGTCCTTGGAGCCAATTTCGCGTCGTTCGCAGATGCGATTATCGTTGGATCAAATGCGGCATGAATGTAAACACTATCAGTCCAGTCTCGGTGTGGCTCAACGAAGACAGTAAGTAATTACGAGTGATCCTTTTTTCATTTGATACATGTTCGTCGACCACAAATTATGGCATTCCTTAATTCCTACCTCTTACACATCTACCAGAGCGGAAAAAGAGCGACAATTAAAAGAACGCGCAGACCTGTTGGCACACGATTTTACCACGAATGCCGCGTTGCGAAACAAGCTGGACGGTAGTGGTTCAACTGTGATCAAATTGGACTCCGAGTTGGAACATCACTCACGGTTGTCCGCGGTGGGTCGACGAATTGATGAAATGCTCGCGTCCGGATCTGCCAGCCTCAGTGCGCTTAGGGACCAAGGGTGAGATTGATTTCTGCATCATTTTTCTTGATCCAATGGCTATTATCGGTTATCCAATGACAACACAGATGTAATCTACTAAATGATGCTGATGATGCTCATTGCCAAACCTGACATCGATGATATACGTTTTCAGGTAGTTTTGGGAGTGTATGACTGGCACAAACAATGGATTTCACCCTTTGTAGTCCAAGTTGCAGATCGCTGTCATTATAGACATTCACAAAACCGAATGATCCTCATATAGGAGATAATGGCATAAAATGTGTCTTAACTGAAGTCCGCCCGGTGAAGCATTAGGTCACAAAACAACCAGCTTGAAGAACACATGATATTCAATACTTATCAAATTAACAAAAAACACGGTAATAGCGTAGACGCAACCAAAAATGTCTGGCTCATTCCTAAATTCCACCTTTCTGTCAAGCCTACTCATAAGTAGTAAAACTCGTAGTACAAATAGCTTACAGCAAGAAGGCTTAGGTCATCAATACTGCGTGCAAAATGAATTCGTGGAATTACATAGTTTCTTTTTTGTTCATCCTCCCCATGCATTTACAATTAGGATGACAATGAAATCAGCTCACAAACGTCTCCTGGATTTGATGAACACACTGGGACTTTCGAATACCGTGATGCGACTGATCGAGCGTCGTACACACCAAGACAAGGTTATATTTTGGCTCCTTGTCGTCGTGTCGCTGGTTCTGATGTGGGCTGTCTGGCGATACTTTCATTGAACACAATTCGTAAGACCGCGAAGTGGCAGTCGCATCTGAAGGCAATCACTCCAACTACCCTTTAACCACTACTGTTCCAAATGTCTTTCAAGCTACCTATTCACTTCTGTTTCGTTGTGTGACACCCAGCTGTTCGTCTGGTGTTATGTGTCGTTTTGCACTGCTTAATTTACGGCGCTGCTCTTCGTGTCGAATCTTTTAATTTTGTATGAATGTATCATATTTCGCACTCGAACACTTTGTTTGATTCCCCCTTTCCCCAGATGGCCGGTAGTCTTCATTTCATCTGCGCAACTTTTAATTTTTCTTGAGTCCGCGTGGTGGTTTTTTCGACTTATTTTGTAAGTGCTCCGTGTGGCACAACAGAAACAAGCTTTCTACCGAATACAATACATTGATTTGCATATCCCTGGTACACAGGTGTAAAAAATGTCTCATGTTGCTTGTTCCATGGAAGGGTGGAGATTTAGGTGAGGAATTGGTACAAGTTGTTTCGAAATGTTCTTCCCATTGTTACTAAAGGAGGAGCAGTATACTCCCATACTCGTTGTTCACCTCACACGTAGTCTATCTAAATTGTTACACTTGATTTGATGGATTATCGTTTTCCGACTGAGTGCAACAAGACACAACCACCTAGGCACCTCTTGGGGTGCGTTCATAGATCTTTTTTAAGTAATGAAGTCGCAGACGATAACGACTTTGTTCGCTGAGAGAGCATTTAGGCGACAGAAGAGTTACCATAAAATCCAAGCTTAATGCGGAACGATCTAGCCACACAAATACCAATAGGCTTCGACGCTCCATTCTTTCACCGTTGACCTGCACAGTCGACTACGGATGGGAATTGAGTCAAGAAGCAAGCACTGAGCCGCCGAAAGCGTCATTATGGTCGGGAGTGGGCGTTTCGGGTTGTGGCTGGTCACCCCTCCCTTGCACTTCGCGAAATGCTCCCATACGACCAAGCGTCTCAAATAGCCTGTTGAGGAAGCCCTACTCACTGCCTTCTCGTGGCGGTGTTTTCGCATCAAAGCGAAAGGAAGACAAGCCAATAGCCCAGTTGATGAACCACTGGCAGTCCACCTAGAGGAGTTGGTTAAAATATTTGATTCCAAACCATCAAGAGGAGGCCTATGAACCACACACACCTTGTCGTGGTAGTGGTTACTGGCTCGATTGAGTATGTAGTTGTATTAGACATCTTGGACGTTAGTGCCCATCCGAAAATGGTAGGTTCTGACGAATTGTACGTCGGCTCTCGATGGACCGCGGTTTTCGCACACACCCCGCCGCCTAGCGGGTTCGACTTTGGCTACCCAAAGGCTTTGGTTGTGAATTCCCTGAGAAAATTCACCTGGCAGTATTCGGCCCGCAAATCATGGACCATTTTTATGAAAATCCTTGTACCATGATTTATTTGTTAGGGTCTGATTTAGAATGCGTGTGAAATAGAATACAATAAACAACAACAAGCCCTGAGTGCAAATTTGAGATCTGGTACTTCATGGCTTAGCTTACTTGGCGAGGGACTAAGCAAACAAAGGTATTCTTTGGGAACCCTAATGTTAGGTAAAAAGACTATTTTTACCTAAAACTGACTATTTTTCAAGTGTCTGCAATT